TTTGCCAGCTACGGGCCCCCCTGGAAGTTCCAGCGCAAGCTGGTGCACGCCGCCCTCTCCATGTTCGGGGAGGGCTCGCTCGCCCTCGAGAGGATCAGTAAGTGCCCCCCACCAACCCCCAGGCTCCCTCCCAGCTCTGTCTCCCTCCTGCGCTTGATCCAGGCTGGACTTTTCTTTTCTCTCTGCCCCTGATCCCCTGGGAACCAAGGGGAGACTCATTGGCTCAGCCCAAACCCCCCGGCATCCTAGCAGGGGCTCCGGACCTCCCCCTCCACCACCCCCTTCCCGTACTTCACCGACACCTCTCCCTATGCGTTTTCTGCCCTGAGGCTTCTCTCACTTACAGCTGGGGAAACTGAGGCATGGAGCCAGTTCCTGGCCCCCTGGACTCCCTGCTCCACCCGGCAGGAGCATCAAGCTGCACACGGAGACTTCCTTGTGCGTCTCCATCCTCCTGCTCTTCCCCAGCACCCAGCATCATCCCCTTCTGCCCACCCTAGCCCCTCGGGGCTCAGCCCTGGCTGGGGGGGTGCTCTCTGCAGGCTGCACACCGTGAATGAGTGGGGGACCCCTCCTTCCAGCCCCCAGCTGCCCCCTCCACCCCTTCAGCTTCACCATCACCCCCTCACCTGCCTTTCCCCTCCACCCCAGTCTGCCGGGAGGCTGCATCCCTGTGTGAAATACTCAGCACTGCGCAGGATACAGCCCTGGACGTGGCCCCCGAGCTCACACGGGCCGTCACCAACGTGGTCTGCTCCCTCTGCTTCAACTCCTCGTACCGGCGCGGAGACCCCGAGTTCGAGGCCATGCTGGAGTACAGTCAGGGTATTGTGGACACTGTGGCCAAGGAGAGCTTGGTGGACATCTTCCCCTGGCTCCAGGTGAGCAGGGACGTGGGGACTGCCTGTTCCTCTCACCTCAGATGAGAGGAAGGAGCTGGGATGTGTCCAGCAGGAGAGGGCTACCTGAGCCCCCGGGGTTAGGAGGGTCCCTGCCCCAGTGTCCCACAAGAGCCAGTACCCTGGTGGGCACGGAGTGACTGCCTGGGAGCCTGCAGAGGCTCGGTTGAGCTGGAGCCCCTTGTTGTAATGGGGCTTTTCTCCCCCAGATCTTCCCCAACAAAGACCTGGCCCTGCTGAAGAGATGCCTCAAGGTCCGGGACCAGCTGCTCCAGCAGAAGTTCACCGAACACAAGGTGCCAACAGGGCCAGGACAGGGACATGCTCGGGAGCTGCAGGGTGCTGGAGCTGGAGTGGAGGGGACTGTGCCCAGGACAGCCCGGCTCACACGTGTCCCCTGGCAGGAAGCCTTCTGCGGGGATGCCGTGAAGGACCTCATGGACGCGCTTCTGCAAGTGAGGCTCAGTGCCGAGAACAGCAGCCCACCGGCGCCAGGGCTGGAGCTGACTGACGACCACCTCCTCATGACGGTGGGGGACATCTTCGGGGCCGGTGTGGAGACCACCACAACTGTGCTCAAATGGGCTGTGCTCTACCTGCTCCACTACCCCGAGGTAGGGTCTGCGCCCCATGGCGGGGGGCCTGGGCTCCCTCCGGCACCAGGGACATTGTGGGGGGCTTTGGGGAAGGCAGGTACCAAGAAAGATGTCAGGCTTTGAGAATAAGCAGGGTCAGGCTGTGGGCATTTTACTTCTGCCTTGCACAACCTGCCAGGAAATGCTGGTGATGCTGGGTGTACCCCACTGCCATGGGGATCCCCTGCACACAGGGCACCCCCCTCCCCGAGCTCCCACCCCAGCCCTTGCTCCCCTCCCAGGTCCAAAGGAAGATCCAGGAGGAGATGGACCAGAAAATCGGCCTGGCGCGTCACCCCCACCTCAGCGACCGCCCACTGCTGCCCTACCTGGAGGCCACCATCAGCGAAGTGCTGCGCATCCGGCCCGTGTCCCCCCTGCTCATCCCGCATGTGTCCCTTGCTGACACCAGGTGAGACCCCCCGGGGCGCAGCCAGGACGTGGGCAGGGACTGTGGGAGGGAGCGACCATCTCACTCTGTGTTCGCCTTGCAGCATCGGGGAATACTCCATCCCCAAAGGCGCCAGGGTCGTCATCAACCTCTGGTCCGTGCACCATGATGAGAAGGAGTGGGACAAGCCCGAGGAGTTCAACCCCGGTGGGTTGGGTGCTCCCTGTCCCCCCCGGGTGGCAGGGGACGGTGGGGTGGGCGCAGCAGGAGAGGCTGAACCTGGGGGAGGCTTGGTGGTGGGAGGTCGACTCCTGCTCCCCCCCGGCTGGGGCATTCACACCGTCTCTGCTCTTGCAGCTCACGGGAGGGACACACATGTGATGAACTTGGGCAGGTCTCAGTCAGAAGGGACAATCCCTGCCAACACCAATGATGCCCCTTCCCTCTGCAGGCCGCTTCCTGGATGAGCAGGGCCAACACATCCACTCGCCCTCGCCCAGCTACCTGCCCTTCGGGGCCGGGATCCGCGTCTGCCTGGGTGAAGTCCTGGCCAAGATGGAGCTCTTCCTCTTCCTGGCCTGGGTGCTGCAGAGATTCACGCTCGAGTGCCCCCAGGACCAGCCCCTGCCCTCGCTGGAGGGCAAGTTTGGCGTCGTGCTGCAGGTGCAGAAGTTTCAGGTGAAGGCCAGGCTGCGGGACGCCTGGCGAGCGACCTTGTGATGGGGACGAGCCCTGATCCTGGGCAGTGGTGGGGTGGGATGGGACCACAGAGGCTATGCCCTGCCTGCCCCATGGATGTGGGGTTGTCCGGATAAAGCTGTTCCCAATGCAGCGTGGCTCCAGCTATTTTTTGGACAGGCGATGGAGGGCAGGGGGAGGTGGGAGTGTGCCTGAGATGTATGGTGGCCCCACAACTTTGTGTGAGCACTGGGCTGAGCTGGGAGGCCATGGCCCCTCTGCGGGGCTGCTAACAGAAACAGCCCCTTCACCCCCCCAGGTATGTGGGGTGGGGGGCCCGTCCAGAGACAACCATGAGCCACAGAGACCAGCCACCCGCATAGCTGGTGGAGGACGAAGGGCCCACCCCAGCCAGGTAAGGGGGGAAAAGTGACCAGTGGGCAGTTGGGGGGTTAGGGATGCCCAGGCTGTGCCCAGCCGCTGTGACCCCGGGTGGGTGACCCTGGCTGGCTCCTGCCTCATTTTCCCCGAAGGGAGAACGACCATAACTGGGAGCGAAGCCCGACAAGCGGCAGGGAGAG